GAGTGACATCGCTGAATTCTCTCGCATGGAGATCGTCAGAAATTGTATCTATGTTTATATCTCCGAGAATAAAAAATGACGTTGTTACAGTTCCAAGATAACATAATGCACTATCAAGAAAAACCATAAATTCAAACATATTGCCGGAAGGCGGTCTGTACAAAACAGCTATATTTCTACGTTCGATATGTTAACAAATAAACTTTCAACATTTTCGTCTATTCTGGTTAAATCATCAATTATGTGGTACTGGAAGTGTTTTTTTAAATAAAAGTCTATGCCGCCACCTCTCTTTTTTTTCTCTGCATAGACTTTCACCCGAGTACCCCTGAAGTTGCGGTGGTATGTCTTCTTTTGTCAACCATGTTTCCGTGAGTGCTATAGCATCAAATTCCAAACTTAGAGAGTGTAATATTAGTTCAAGGTCCTCTACTTTATTTTTAACACTCCTCGTGTTAAAATGTATAGTCGAGAACTCTCCCTTGCTGTTTTTATACTTGTTATTGAATGCTTGACAATCATAATAACAATCAGGTCGCATATCGTCGTCCATTTTCAGTTTCGTATGCACACCGAACGTGCTACCATTTTGTTTTTTTTTCATTCGTTATTTTGTCGACATCGAACATGTTAGTGATTCGAAGAATGGTTGCGTGCTCGTCCTTTCGGCGCAAAAGATCTTCCCACCCGCAGACCAGACAAACTTCCATCCAACGCTTTTTTTTTTGGCAACCGCAGCGCCCAGTAGCTTTTTCTTTGAGCTGGTTAGATGCTCATTTACGTACACAGCGTTGCAGTTCCCGCCATAATCAAGGTCTTTTGTGTTCAACCATTGCTTTTCGCATTTTTGCAGGATTGTGTCTCGTTTAGTACGTTGCACAAAACGGACGATTACGTTTTTCTCTCCGGGCCTGAAAGTGGAGAACTGCGTTGTGCAACCATCGCGCAGTCCCTGGGCAACCCCCTTGGTTTTAGTCACGAAAAAGGACGAATTAACACGAATTTGCGTCGACTACAGAAGGATCAACGCGGTCACTGAAGACACTATCTACCCCTTTCCGCGAATGGAGGACGCCTTGCAGACTCTGACGGGTAGCAAGTTTTACTCTGTCATAGACCTGGTTTCTGTTTTTTATCAAATTGCCATGCGGCCAGAAGATATCGAGAAAACGGCCTTTCTTACTCCGTGGGGCCTGTATAAGTTCTTGAGGATGCCATTTGGACTCAAGGGTGCTCCGTTTACCTGTCAGCGTGCGGTACACACTATCATTGAGAATGCCAAGTACGACCACGCACTTGTCTACATGGACGATTGTGTTGTCTACAGCAAGACATTTGACGAGCGTGTGACGGACCTGCAAAACATTTTTTCAAGGTTCCACGAAGCGAACCCAAAGTTCAAGCCACAAAAGTGTTTTTTTCTTTTGTACGTCAGTCAAGTACCTTGGGCACATTGTCACGAAGCATGGAGTTTTACCGGACCCTTCCAAGATGGCAGCTGTCCATAGATTTCCGGCTTCCCGCAATATTCATGAACTCCAATCCTGAATATTGCGGGTCGGAGTCTTACTTCCGGAAGTTTATCCCGAATTACAGTGTTCTTGCTGCTCCTTTGCGTGAACTCCTCAAGAAAGAAACAAACTTCCTCTGGAATGAAGAACAAGATGCAGCGTTTGGAGCTCTCAAGGATGCCCTGTGTGAACGACCTCTTCTTAAGCTTTTTTCGGAAGACGTACGCTTTGGCATCCAAGTTCACACCGACGCTTCCAAGCTTGGGCTGGGAGCATTGCTATTGCAAGAGGACGAAGACGGAAACTTCAGACCTGTAGTGTACTTGAGTCGCTCCCTCAAAGGTTTCCAGTTCAACTACACATCAACAGAGATGGAAGCTCTTGCCATCAAGTGGGCTCTGGGTGAGCTTCGCCCGTACCTCACGGGTCGTAAGTTTCAAGTTGTTACCGACCACCATGCTCTTTGCTGGGTGATGTGGTACAAGAAGGGGAACCAACGCTTACTGCGCTGGTCGCTCATCCTGCAGAAGTTCGATATCGAGGTCATCCACAATTCAGGAGCTCTACAAAGAGCGCCAGATTGCATCTCCCGTACTCCGCAGTCAACACGGGCGCTAGGTGACAAAGTTCTCTGTGTCAAATCTCCGGCCTTCCTGCAACGGGCTGAGGATATTTCACGGGACCAACATCAGAATTCGTATTGCCAGGACGTCTTTAAACTTTTGGATGGAAGTGCTGGCACACGTAAACAGCAGAGGCGAGCACAACACAAGTTCGTCGTTCATGACGGAGTCGTTTATAGGAGGGATCAAGGCCCCATCAATCAACGTTTCTTGGTCTGCCTTCCTGACTCGAAGAGAGCCGAAGTTTTGCGCGAATTCCACTGAGGAAAGTACGGCGCACACATGGGCATCAGACGCACCTTCCAAGCTAGTCGCACAAAATATTTCTGGCCGAAACTCTTCAGGGACGTAAAGAAGTTTGTCACGCATTGAGACCTCTGCCAACATATAAAGATGTCCTTTGTGGCACCTCTTGGACTGCTGCAACCGATTGAAGTCCACTCCCCGTTTTACTTGATAGGGCTAGATATTGTTTGACCTTTTAAGACATCTTGACGCTACAAATACATCATCGTCGCAATCGACTACCTCACGAAAATTATTGAGGCCAAGCCTGTGCGGAACATTGAAGCGGTTACGGTACAGAAATTCATCGAGCGTCGAATCATTTCAAAGCACGGTTGTCCAGCAGTGATTATCACTGATCGTGACACTCAGATGATGGCACGCTCGACTTTGGCGTACCTTCAACACCGTGGCATCCAGCACTTGCCTACGACAGCGTACCATCCTGCTGCGAACGGCCTCTGCGAGCGGGCGAACAAGACGCTCAAGCAGATGATCAATTTGACAGCAGCCGGAGGCGACAAGTGGGCTGACGTCCTTCCCTACGTTGTGTTCTGCTATAATACCGAATTCCAGGACACCGTTCGTCAGTCACCTTTTTTCCTAGTCTACGGCCGTGGCCTAGCTGTGCTCCCCCTTGATGTCGTTTATGGACGCCAGGAGTTCGCTGAACTACGTGATGCATCGGACTATTCAGTCGTTGTTCACGAGAGACTAAACCAAGCTCGGAAACTGGCCGCTAAGCACATCAAGCTCGTTCAACAAAAACAAAAGAGCTACTTCGACAGGGGACGCGAAGACATCACCTTCGAGAAGGGCCAGCTCGTGTTGCTAACGACAACACCCGTGGGGCTCAAGGCAACACGACGGTTCACTGGCCCCCACCGAATTGTGAGCCGGCTCTCTCCTGTGAACTACGAGATTGAACTCATGGACGGTAATGGCCGCGACGTAGTGCACGTGGAGAAACTGAAGCCGTATCTTACACCAATCGCTGAATTTGCACAACCTCTACCCGATGACTGAACTTTTGAAATTTATAGTGTGTGCACTTGTTTGTAGCGTGCCTTCTCATTTACCGTTTTGTATGAACATATTTATTTACTCGCATGTATATCTCAGAGCGCGGTGTTTGTTTAATGTTGTTTTGTTTTCGCCTCATGTAAGCGCACTGTCAGGTCGACAGTTTCTAAAACCCCTGCATGTGACGAGCCGCAAAAGACGACTCGTGCGGCTCGTGCGAGCTCCGGTGCCGCGCGTGCGAGCGCGAGAAAAAGAGATATAAAGAAAAAATAAAAGAAGTTCTGCATGGAATCTCGTAGGTTGACGTGACTTTCCTGAGCTCGGATCCCTTTCCTCTTGACGACAAGAACGAATCGTCACACAGTTGAAAAAAAACTTACCGAGAGAAGAAACCCAGCCCCGGGTCCCTGCGATATAAGGGCAGCAAAAGTACGTTGGGCGCCATGTGGGAGGATTGCATTGCTGCATGCCCATCCGGGAGGAACAACACGAATGTGGGGTTTTCATCGCAAGAAACTACATTTATTAGAGTAACAGGATTGGGTTGTAAGTATTTTAAGTATAACGTTGCCATAGCGTTCGACCGACGCGTCTCCGTGTCCTCGGTCCGTCTTCCCCCTTCTGTCGGCGTGTCCCCTCTTTTATAGGCTCTCGCGCCTATTCCTCATGCGCTGTTGTGCGCCTCGGACGTTGTCCGCTTTGGGCTGTCGGCAGCGGTCTTTAAGCATGGTGGCAGACCCTCGCTCCGACAAACTACAACTCCGAAAGGCGCGCAAAGTCCCAAGCACTGCAGGCTTGCACGGGTGCATGTTTTCGTCGCGGGGCTGGCGTTGTCCTGTACGCTCCGTTTCACTTTATGTCCGAATGCAACCTTCGCTACGATTAAAGGGAGCCAATAACGCAGCACCAAAAGTGAGACGTCATGACGCTCATCGTTGGTTCGGCGTTTGATATCACCGGCTAAACCAATCGGCGTAACATTCATTGTGCGGGTTTGGTCATTCCGCGAGAGTAAATGCACAAAGCCTACAAGCTCTATCACGATGCACCTTTGGCGCAGCTTGAGTGCCTCACATTGGATCGTAGAATTGACTGCGGTCGAACTGATGTGAGAGTATAGCTTCCCAACTCAAATGGTTTGTTTGATCTTTCTTGATTGATTGTTTGCGGAAGTTTATGTTGAATAGAAATGTCGGTTCCCGGAAATGCGGCGGGATTGCAATCATGGTTTCAGTAGTGTCAGAACACTTGGAGGTAAGATTCTGCGAAAGAAAAACGGAGCGCAAGTTCGTCTGCTTCTTTTGAAGGGGTTGTGGTGACGCGAGAAAGATGCAGAGCTCTGATAGTTTTTTAATGAAAGATTGTGGGTAGACCTCAAGGCAGCTTGCTTTGAGGTCTACCCACTATCTCTGAATCACAGCCAATCAGACCTCGTCGTCTTTCTGAAGTCACCGCAACTCTTGTGCAAGGAGCCGACGACTTGCTCTTCGCATTGAGTGTTCGCTTAGCATCGGGTTTGCTCCCATCACCTAACGTCACTACGACAAAAGGAAAGTCACCCTGTCCCTGAGCCGTTTATTGTTAAATCCTTAGCAGCGTGGTCCAATCAAATATTGTGTTTCACGCTTAACTCTTTATTTTTCTGAAAACGCGTCGCTACTTCTTTCACTGGCTTTGTTAAGCTGCATCTCATTATATTGGGTTGGGGCGTGCAGATCAATATGTGATGTCAGTACTGTGCGTCGTTGCAACGTAGGGGAGAGGGGCGCGCCAAGCTTAGTGTCGAGGTTTGTGGGCGCGCACCAGGAACTGGGAGTTGCGGAACGGTGAACCACCGGCCTCTTTCTCGGCGAACAACTTGGCTCCTTCCTCGGCGACGTCCTTGAGGAGGAGAGGTTTCTCTTCTTCTGTCACAAGGTTGGATAGTCTAATCAGTCCCATATGCACTCCTGAAAATAAGAATAAAAATACGTTTTTACAGTTACTAGCCGGAAATAAATATCAGAAAGTCTCTTTCGGTGCTCGTTTGAAAAAAGCTCACCTACGGTAGCCCCTGACAGCAGTGCGTGGTTCTAATTTATCGTCACGATTCTTTTTTTCATAAATCTTTGTTTCTTGTTCTCATCGACAAGTACCGCAGTCTTATTGAATACTAATGATGAACGACCAACTAGCCCGCCAGCTCACCTTATTGAATACGGAGCGATTACAAAATGCTCTCGACTCGACACCACCCGAGGTTCTCACACCTGCGGTGAATATATTATAATTATCGCTAATGCAAACACCAGGGGATCCCGATATGACGAGTCCAAGTAGAGGGTCTGTGGGCATAAAAAATGACAGGAGGCACTATGAAAAGCAGTGCCGTGAGAAACGTTCAGAAGATGGCCTGAAGAGAAGGATTCTAAATAAAGGGATCCGATGAGTCAAAATATCCAATGTTCAATTACTTGACCCGTTGAAACGTTGGCTTTTGCACGTCTTGACTACATTAAACCTCTAGAGTCTAGACTAATGTCCAACCAGTTAAGTGGTCGAACGACCCAGGAGATCCAATACTAGCCTGTCAACTTCTCAACCCCGCATGAAAAACTGCCCATATATACTTTCTGAAATTATTTCCGGATATGTCTTCACAGTCTCTGAAACTTAACCAACCGTTCGTAACACGTAAAACACAAATTCATCTAGAAACTCGCCGAAGAAACTACAGTGTCTTCAAACAAACGTATAAAAAGGCAAGAAGCCTTTGACAGAAATTTACGGTTACCTCCTGTGTTTCAATACAACAACCGCGACTAATCACTCGAAACAACTTTCTTCAGCAAATGTTTCTTTTTTGTACAAAGGTATTAATTAAGTTTCCGTGAAATTAAATTAATCTGTCTTATCAGTCCTGTCCATCAGTGGAATCGTCTCTGGTAAATAAAATTCGCTGTGGTTTAACTTTTAACCTGCCATAAATTGTTTGACTCGTTGGACCTCTTGATTAGTCGGATGTCTCGATTCGTTGGATCTCTTAACACGAACGACCCCTTGATTTGTTGAACCTATTCATCTATATTAGATCTCTTCACTCGATGAATAATTTGATAAGGTTTCCACACGCCTCTTGAATCGCTGGATCTCTTTGCACGTTGAATCTGTTGACCAGAAGCGGCGGGGAGAGGAAAGGGGGGAAGGGGGGGGGGGGTTGATGGTGGCTTTTGCTAGAGTGATAAAACAAATCAAGCAATCCAAGCAATCGGGACATGCGACGGTCCCGTGCCAGGAAAGTCAAAATATCCACAAGTCGCAGAGACACACTATTGTCAAAAGTTTACCATGATGATATTAACCCGAGACTGGAGCACCACCAGCTCGCCTGCGCACTGACCGTAATTTCTTTAATGGCCAAAAGATCCGCCATGCCAGGCAACTAAATTATATAACAAACCCGGTGTTTGTGAGGTAAAAAAAAAAAACACCCTCCAGAGAATTCGGCATGTCGGACACACCTAAGTTGACTAGCCAATCAGCAATTGCTCAAAGATTTCCTTTAATTGCCAGCCCTTTTTGATCTGAGATTGTTCGTGATGTAAGACTAAGTTACTGTGCGACAGTGGTTCCAGACAAATGGGCGGTACAACGACATTCAGTTAGAATTTTTTTTTCACTTTATAGGAGCTTAATGGCACTAATGGGACTCAAGGATACTCGCACGCAAGGCCAGTGGCCAAGAAACTCCTTTGTTGCGGTGTAATTTCAAGGACAAAAGGGAGTGTTTTTATTCAAACTCTTCTTCGCAAGACTTGATGAGGTAGCTGGGCCGTCGCAGTACCACCATCTGACGATATTTCAATGCGGCTTATGAATTGAACCCGAGCATTCCGAGGGCAGTCGATTAGTGCTTTTGTTAATCTATAGCTCGAGCAGCGTTCGGATAGCAACCCGTGTCCAATCGCTGCAATAACGATAATAGCCAAACCATAACAATGTCTGTAACTCAGCACGTGTCCTGCGCCTTGCCAGCCGCAGCGTGTGGCTATGAACAACATTGGCGGCATATAACCGGCTCCAGATCACGTGGCCACTTCTTCTGGCTGGAAGTTGAGCGGGTGAACGCTGCTTGCTTTTTTTAACTTTTTTTCTTTGACTACAATTGCGTGTGGTTAAAAACGAACGGGTGTTTCATAAGTCATTAACGACAGGGATCAGCTATAAGCGGTATTAGCGCAAAGTACAAAATCGTTGCATGGCACCTTTAAGAGCGCTTTTCTTCATTCCGACATAGGTAACCATATTTTGTTATGAAAGTTTTTGTTTTCAAGAAGTAACAATCTGTCATCTGTGTTATGATTCGTTTTTTTTTTCTTTAGTTCAAACATAGCAACTACAATTTTGTTACGAAAGTTAGTTGTCTGCAAAACACAACAATCTATCATATCTTGTGCGAGTTTGAGACACTTTAGGGTTTTTTGTGTTACACACGTGTCGTTGAGTTTCAGGGATTGGGCCAATGTGGTCTTGAAATATTTTTTGGGGAACCCACACAACCAGTTGATAATGAAAAAAACGTCGAGTGGTAAATTTTGAATGTCCTGACTCGTCAATGTTTTCGGACGAGTCAAGGACTCATATATGAGTCAAAAGGACAACTGAGTCCACAGGTTTATGGTGAGTCAAGAGGTTCAACGAGCCAAGAGATTCAACAAGTCAATAGGTCCAATATTGGATATTTCGGATCGTTGGATCTCTTGACTTGTTGGACCTCGTGTTTGACATCAGCGATACCTCTCTCTACCAAACACAACCTTGCAGAAAGCCGTAGTGCTGAAGTTTAGAGCTGACCCATGATGGAGCAGCCCAGGACGCATATCAGACACGAGTGCTGTTCTAGCGTTTCGGTGGAAGTCATATTTTGACTTATTGAAAACGAGTTTCAGCAAAATGCTAGCGCGAATCTCGCGTTCAATGTATCAGTGGGTTGACCCACGGTGCGTAAGGTATTAACTTCAGAATGGCTGCTCTTTTTGCATGTTAGGTTGCCCTGATCCCCTGTTAAGAAAAAACTTAAAAAAACTGCACTTCTTTCTAAGCTTACTTGTATATTGCTCTACGCTGGACCACTTGCGATCTTCTTCCAGCACCTCACACGTAGTTGGGATCAGATTGGCGTTCTTCAGAAGACCAGATATGTAAGACAGACGGGCATCCCGGTCCGTCAAATCCAGGGTTGGAGAATGCGTCGGGAGCACCTGCGTGCAAATGTGAGGAAGGGTGCAAAAAAGAATGACATTGTTTGCTGTTAATCATTCAAAACACAGAATTTCAAGAACGTAAAGTTCAAGGCCACAGAGTACTGCCAAGGGCTATTGAAGAGCTAGAAAAATATGCAGGGATAATGTGGCTCGCCACTCTCTGCTGCCTAAGCTTCGGTAGTCCCAACTCCACGGCGCGGCACTATCGAAGAAGCGGATTCGTCATAATCGAAGCTAGATGTTATTTCCAAACGTAGTCCAAACCCCACTCACAAATGACAGTAATAACGTTTATTACCTCATAACAACACATCTAAAGGCTGGCGGCTGCCGTGGAAGCGGAACTTTCCATATGTGCTAACGGACGGCCTTAAAATAATTTGATCAATGGGTATAAAACACCTCGATAGCCGGAAGTGTTCTCCCAAATGTACTCGGGGGACTATCTAAGCTCCTACGCGACGGGCCGTAGCCCTCTAGCAGAGTGTGCCCAACCAAAAAAAACGTTTTCCCCGATTTTCCCTGCTTTCCCATTGCTTTGGCGGGATACCAGTCCTCAGTGGTCAATCAGGAGCGAAGTTTCGGCGTCCTATTGTTCAGAAGACGATGATGTCCCCACTGGAGGTCAGAGGGAGGGCTGACATGTCAGAGTATGGCGCAGTCTCGAGTAAGCGAGACACACATATGCGTGTAAGACATGCGATCCGACCCATGGATGTGCCGAAAAGATGGCCGCTCCGACCCGCCGCACACCAAAGTTCGAAATGCCACGTGCGGCAAATAACAAACAAACAAACAAACAAACAAACAAACAAAAAACTCTGAAAAACGGTATTTTCGCAAATGTCGTCTGTCCTCTCTGCTTGGTTCATTTAGGCAACAACTTCCCATCTGCTTCTAATGAATTTTTCAAATAAATTAAACTATATTTCGTAAAATGGCTTGTACCTTACCCTTGCCTGTTTAAGCACTTCTTTTACGAAGCTCCGTCACACAAAGGCTGCATCAGCTGTCGGCTGAAACCCGTATCTTCAGTTATTGGACTCGTGCCACAGCCGAACGCTGCCGCGAAATTGGTGTAATAGCTGTACCCCCAGCGGCGTTGACCTGCCGTATTTGCCCTACATAAACTCCAGCACTACGGATTTGTTAACGCTCTTTTACACATCGCCATTTGTCTAGTTCACGTCAGCTGGCCCTCAAATCTCGCTCGAGTAGATACGAGTTACTACCGCGGGTCAGATGACATGATCAAGCAGAGCGGCAAAAACGAGCGATCTTTGGGGACTCTATACAACTCTGCCAAGCGGGCGGCCTGTTTTTTACTTTTTATTTTGGTGTTTTTTTTTATTGAGCTAGCGGTTCACGCGGAAGCCACAGTATGGTGTGATTTTTTCATATCGTTCCGGTGTGCCTCGTGCCCGGGGTTTCCGCTGAGGCGGAAAACGTGTCGCTACAATACGATATAACTCGGCGCTGCATCACATTTTGTATGACCATTGCATTTGCCATAATGCTAAAGTACAAGGGCGTTATCTTTTTCTGAAGGACAAGGGCAATTTTATGGGAGTTTGAGAGGTTACACTTTCAGATGTTCATCAAATTGCAGCTGAAGAGCAGTGGCGCCACTAGGTTCAGCTGCACCGGGGACGATTGCCCGCCACGACCCCCCCCCCCCCCCCCCCCCCCCCCTCTCTCTCTCTCGTGGCCTGCCGCGACACCCCCCTGAGCGGTGCACCCCGAGCGGCTTGCCCGGCAGCAATCGCTACACGTATTTTTCAATATCAATGCGATTTACGTTAACTTCAGAAGGAGAACGGGTTTTTGACTTTCCTCCTATCTTTCGTTTATTGCCATGCCTTAGGCAAAAATTCTTTTCTTTTCAGTCGATACCGAGTCGGTTTTTACGGAGAGTCTCTCAAGCGGAGAAACACAATGGAAACCGAGAAACCCGTGCGATTTGCAAACCCCACTCTGACATCTTTTGTGATTTACCTAAAGTTTATGACAATATGAAGAGAAACTGAGGGAGGCTAAGAAATTCCAGCACACGCAAGGACGTAAGAACGCCAAGCTCTTATTGGAAAGATTAGTAAGTAGACCCCAAAGCTACCATGTCGTTGTGCCTACCCATAGGATGGTTTCATTGACCTGCAGCTGCTGCACCGGTGCAGAAAAGTGTAAAACGGTGAACTTCCGATACTAGCTCAGTGCACATATTGGAAGTACATTGCCCTACACTTTTCTACATCGATGCAAGAGGTGAAAGTAACTCGAAGGAGCCTCGTATGTCCCGGTATTAGAGCGAACAAGAGCGTCGCCTAGTCCTCCTGCAGTGTCTTGCGTTCTAACGCCGGAAACCAGCGTTCGGCGAGTGAACGGGTTTGGATGGTGAGTAGATACACAAAAGGAAACTAAACTGTGCGTCCGCCACCTCTCCTTCCAATCAGACCTTGGGGCAATGGCGTCCCAGGGACTTCCCTCTCTGCCCGAGTCTCTTTTCGTATAGGGAGTTCCAGTAGATTGTTCCGATGATTTTGCTAACAATAACCAATACTCCTACGACGCCTTTGCGCATACATCTTGTCGTTATCGGCTATCGTCAAAGGTATCGGAACGATCCACTGGAACTCTCTAAACCTGCATTGAAGTATGTAATAATATCACTGTCATTTCGGCTTCTGAGAGATGCATTTTTCATAACCCACCCCCTGCATATTGTCTCATATGGATTGCCATTTAAAAGCAGCCTAGATACGACAGAAAATACTTGTAGGCACTGCTTCGCTTGCCAGATTACTATCGGTTGGTATCGCTACTGAGAACTATAAGAGTTTTGTCTACTCTCGCAGTACTGCATCGTCAGTTGTACGTTTTTAATGCGAAAGAATTAACGTTCCCATTGAGCGAAGCCGGCATTCTCTGATACCTGTAGCATCGCAAAACGGCGCCAAAGTACCCATTGACTGAGCAAAACGCCACCTAAATACCCATCGGCTTTAGAAAACACCACCGAAATTCCCATTTTGGCTGAGCAAAACGGCACTCAAGCTCCCATTGGCCGAGTGAAACGGCGCGTAAATTTCCATCGTCTGAGCTAAACGGCACATAAATCCCCACTGCCTGCAAAGCGGACGCGCCTCAGAAAAAAATAATACACAAAGAAAAGCGCAGGGTGTAGTGTATTCCGGAGGAAAGCAATTTCACGGGTTAAAATTCCCTGGCAGTCATGCCTGTTGGTCATATAACCCACGCCACGATCCTGGCCGAACTCTGAAAAAGGCCTATTTAGCGTGTAAAACTATGAACACATATCGAATGGTCTTAGAAGAATAAAAAACAACACTTTTAGAACATATTGTTTCGGGTCCTCTATGATTTATTTTCTCATGATGATTCATTTCATACCTTAACGGCTGCTATTAATTTTAGACCTTCACCACCTTACTGAAAGGAGGATGGCACGTGATTTGTTAATTTGAAGCTGTAGATTTTCAGAACCAACCAACCTCAGAAGCTGCGTAAACAGGATGTGTAGGTCGGTCAAACTGCATCCTCTTAACGATTTCAAACACAAATTTAACTGGTACCAACGATCTAACTCAGGTCACGTCGTGGAAGCCGAGTGTGCTGTTGACCGAGCTACGGACCCAGCACACAGGAATGGGAGAGGAGAAACAGGTGCCGTCGAAAGAGCGCACGGAAGGAGAAAGAGTGGAAAGGGCAAGAAACCGTGCTTCCCCTATCTTGGCTACCCACAAGATGTAGACCAAAGGCTTTGTTCGGGCGGTGCAGGATGGAAGCTTGAGCATAGTCCCCCCCAAAAAAAGAAAATGGTGTGACGTAAAAAGTTTCTATGAAAAAACGCTGCCTAAGACACCACCTAAACTAACAGCACCACCCACAACATATACTGAAAAACTGAGCGTCCATCCACCTTAGGCATCACCAGAACTAAGAAAAGCACCCACTTCGTAAAACTAGCGCATTTTAAGGCTTTCAGAAGAATGACGAGACATGAGGGCTACTTTTGCATAAATGTCTTCACGGTTCCATTGGCTGCCCTAAAAAAGCTTCGTACGTTTTTATTGCTGTACAAAATAAAACTTTTCGTTCCCATCATGTATTCGGTTGCTCTGAGCCAAAAAAAGCAAGCCGACCCTTTGAACGCATTCAATACGCCTTTAATAGGTCGAACGTGGCAAGTTCATACGAGGTAGTGATTTTCAAGCGTTAAAATGGTAGATGTGGTTACTGCTCAGACTTTTTTGTATGAATTTTTTTTTGTTTTTGTAGATTTGAAATGTGTTAGTATTGTTGTTCTAGCTATATTGTATTCTATTTTTTCTATAATTGTAGAAATCATTTTTTTTTTGTGTTGCATATTCGCATCCGATCCTATTTGATTTTCCTCTCCCACCACTTTTTTTACTTCCAGAATATTTTGTGGAACACACACATGCCTTAATATTTTCTTTTCGTTATAATGGGTGAATCTTAGAACAGGTGCACCTTTCTGTAGGCATACGGGCAGTCTACTCTCCTCAACCCCCCCCCCCCCCCAAAAAAAAAAAAAAAAAAAAAAAAACATTTATCAATAAACAGTACGCAGCTTACCTGATAAATTTAGCGGGGAAACTTAAAACACGTGACCTATGCACCAATTGAGTTCCTTCAACGGGAAAAATGATATTCCGTGACCAATGAACGAATCAAGTTGATGTACAAATGAAAATAAGGACTTAGGCGAACTTGAGCCTCAAACTAAAATAGGAAAGGCGCCTTACATGCTGCATTGACGACAAAGGTACGACTATCCCAATGCTACCACCTGCACATTATTTTACATGGCTTATGCTATCAAGTTTATTCTAGCCGAAGATCCGCGATCAGTTCCTAAATTCTAGCGAAACGTTCCAGAAGAGCGAGGAAGGGAAAAATAAAAAGCTATGCGCAGCGCAAATTCCTCTGGGGTTGGCGATGATGCAGAACGCCGAGCTCTTATTGGCTGATTGAAAAATATAGTGGAGACACCTCATGGTATTTTGCATTCAAGTCAACCCACTGAAGCGTTGTGTTTCGCAAGCAATGAAGCAAGTGTGATTTCATTTACCGCTTGGTTTTTTCGGAAAATAAAGGCAAGTATCATCTTACCGTTCGGTATTTTTGCCAGCGATCCAAAGTTAAGAGTTTCTTTCCCAAGCGCATAAAGCTTACGGACGCAAGGAAGTAAAGCAGACATTCACCACCTGGTCTCATCAAGTCGGCGATGTTCTTGAAAGCCCTTTCTTGATTCCTGATCCAGTGTAGGCAAAAGAAGGAATAGACACGATCGAACTGACCATATCGCCCGACAAAGTCGGTCACCCCGCTCCCTCCAATATCCAAGACATCGTAGCAGATCTTCGGGTGGGCAAACTTCCTCTTGGCGTGTTCCACCATGTCCTGGGACACGTCGACCGCCACAATCCTCCCGACGTCTGGCCAGAGAGGGAGAAGATAGTCGCGGGTGAAGTCTCCGGTGCCGCAACCCAGGTCGAGGAACTGTTGCTCCTTGGTCTCTTCTGTAAACGAGCCTCGCATTAATTCCAGAACCTGGAGATTTAATTTCCGCTGATAGCCATTGTTTTTAACGTAAGAATCAGGATCCATGGTGATAGGTGGCTTCTTGCTGTGAGCTGGCTTGTTCGTAGTTCTAAGCGCAAGAGTTGCCATTTTTAATAATGACGGGTGAGCACGACGACCAGTGGTTGTGTAGAAAGCCCCGTCTAAAGTGCGCTATTACATTAATTCTGCCTCGCTAGAAGTTGCATCTGCTACCTTATATATATACTAAAACAGATGGTTGCGGGCGTGCGCAGTTTAGTGAAGCTCATCCGCCGCTACATCTGTGGAGCAGGAAATTCGAAAGAAAATGTGCAACTTACCTTCTGTTTTGAAACTCCACTCTATTTTTACAATTATTGGGTGATGATCTGTGTAGTCTGATTCGGCGACTCTGAATCACGAGATATAATTTTTTTTTGGGGTAGTATGTATAGTTTTGTATATATCGCGAATCCAGATATCGTTCCGGCGGCACGGCGAAACCGAAACTACCGGCTGAAGCAGCTTGACCACACCGATATTAGTAGCGCGTCGTCGGCATGACCTCGATCTCGTCCCGCACTTCTGAGCCGACGCACTGACAATGTCGGCTCAGCTGCATGTGGAGTTTCAAACCAGAAGGGAAATTGCACATTTTATTTTTTTACCGCTTCACTTTGTTAATACGCACCAAATGTAGTAAGTTTTAGTGTGTATTTACAATTTTGCCAGCCGAAAAGCGGATGCGACTGCTATAAATATGACACGGTCAGTGCCTGCGCAGCGTGACTGTATCTGTCTCCTGCTCGCGGATCGAGAGAAAAAAAATAATGGGAGATAGATCGACAGATGTATCCAGGCACCATGACAGAACAGCACACGACAAAACAGCACGCGACAAATCAGCACGGTCAAGACAGAACGCGTCAACACAGCACAGCGTCAAAACAGCACAGCGACAAAACAAGCACGCGTCAAAATAGCACTCGAGAAAACAGCACAACGTCAAAACAGCAGAGCGATTGAAGAGCACGTGCCAAACCAGCACGGCGTCAAAACAGCACAGCCGTGAAAAGAGCACAGCGACAATACAGCTCAGCAACAAAAGGGCACAGCGACAGAAGGGAACGGCGGCAAAACAGAATTTTGACAAGACAGCACAGCGTCAAAACAGGACATTGACGATATAGCTAGCGTTTGGCGTTTTCGGTTCTTATTATTTTGAAATTCGGCGTACTTTTTTCGGGGTTTATTTCTAATAGAAGTTTTCGATTTGTTGCAATGAATATTTGTAGACTCATAAACTTCTCGGTTCTTTTCGGTTTATTGCGGTGAATATTTGTAGACTCACGAACTCCTCGGTTCTTTTCGGTTTATTGACGAAAACCGGTATACTGGCGAAAATGCAATATTTAAAGGCGTTTGTTTAAAATGTATAGTAAGTAAACCAGGTACTGTTTTTTTTTATTTTTTGCTGTCTGTGCCAACCTACGCGACCGGTTCTGCAAGACGCACTGGGGCCCAATCGTGATCTGACATTATCGTCGTGTGCTCGTATTTGTACACAGGACGAACATGAGCCTCACTACCACTTTGGTCGGAGAGGCAAATATTAAAATCCATAAATTTGCAAGAATTGAACTCAGTGCGTTTTTTCACCATTCTCACGACTGCGAATTCGCGCAGACCACAGAAACAACAACAAAAAAAAAGAGTATTTATACTTTCTTCTAGTAGACGGAAGCTAGGGGTGGTAAAAAATTAGCAGCATTTACGGACACCCTTGATTTTCATTGTTCAGTCCACGATTAAACTCTCTTCTTTGAACAAAGAATTCGGCACACAAGTCCCTATCAGGTTATAAACCCAGATTTCGTACTGAAGCCCCTTCCGCACCCCAGCGTTTGTTGAAGCTGAACCGACCTCATAGAGAAGCTGAAAATTGCGAAAGGAAGTGGTCATACGGTCAGTAATAAGTCACATCGCCCCCCCCCCCCCCCCCTCTTACCCCTCCAAACGCCCTCAAAAGCACTGACCTTTTTGATTTCAAACCGAATTCGGAAAAATGAATTCGGCGTATACTTTTACCGGTTTTATTCGGTTTAAGCCGGAAACGCTGAACCCTAAGTATAGCGTATGGAGTTAAGAAATGCATATCTCAAAGTAGGCACTGTAAAGGAATGGAGGGCCTAGGCGAATTCCTCAAAAACCCACTCGTCGATGGTCAATTTGTCGAATCCGTTCTCTTGGGAGCAAGTTCTGAGAGGGGAGTATACTCGATGCACAGATGAAAGCTCCCTGGCCAGCACCGATGCACCCGCTGGTGCGTATTCTGGCTATTTCTCGACCAGTTCTGTGAATTTTGACGGGCAAGTTTGCTGGTAACGTCGTCTACAATAAATATATCAATCGCACTGCAATGTGTTGTCTTTGGTTGTTAAAAGAAAAAAAAAAACAGAAAGTGTGTGCGGCACGGTGTGCTTAGCCCATGCTTTACGGCGACAGCATTGAGGCTGTGGCATATGTTTCTGCTTCACCGGTTTCCACTTGATCTAGGTCTTTGTCGGCAATAAAGAGGGAATTTAACTCAAACCAACTTCTCGACCGATCCAGTGGGGGCAAGGGGAGGGGGGGAGGTGGTGAAGGTGGGGTAGCAATAGCTACCATCAGTATTTTCTTCTTATTTTTTGTTTTTGGTCATGGATTTCAGTTTAGCTAGCTTCAGCATATATTCTGTTACGTGGATTGCGATTAGTACTCACCATTGAAACTGACTCTTGTAGCCTTGTAAAAAGCGCTAAAGGGCTTCATGACGCAATATATATATATATATATGTATATTTTTTTTTTTTTTGATGGGGGGGTCGGGTTGCGGTGTTTAGTAAGCACTGACATAGGCAATCAATTCATTTATAACCTAGCGACAATAAGAGAAAGGGTCAAGGAGGTTTGAAATTATTCCCGCACAGAGAGGTGGAGAGCGCGATCGAAGTTCCTACATATACGTCCTGTTTTGTCGCTGTGCTGTTTTTACGCCGTGCTGTTTTGACACGTGCTCTTATGTCACTGTGCCGTTTTGACGCTGTGCTGTTTTGACGCGTGCTATTTTGACGCGTGCTGTTTTGTCGCCGTGCTATTTTTGACGCTCTGCTGCTTCGACACGTGCTGTTTTGACCGTGCTGTTTTGTCCCGTGATGTTTTGTCGTGTGCTGTTCTGTCGCGTTTACATGTATCCACAAGCGGTCTAAGTTGTTAAAGCTAAGGTGCCTTTATGTGCACGCTAGTTAGATCAGCCGCGACCTGCTGCATTCGGCCGATCGTGCTTGAGCAGCCGGCGGACGGTACGCGAACAGCGACGGCACCGCATCGTTCTTCAAAGACGCATGTTTCGTGGAGAAACCCGCAACAGTCAGCAGCTCCAGATCCCGTGTGTAGGTGTCTGACGTAAAATGCTGGGAGCAGAGCTTCGCGTTGGAGCTCGGAGTCAACGGTCTTCCGAAGTCAACGGTCTTCCGATTACAAGAGACCCGAATAGGCACACCTTGTGCCTCTTCGGGTCTCTTGTAATCTGGTGGAATTGCAGCTCCGGGTTGCGCACCGGATTCTTGGGGCAACCCACAGCACTACAAGTCGTGCTCGACATCGCCCATCGCCAGTCCGGCGAGTCTCTCCGGCTCCACGACACGCGCGTGAGCGAGCAGCACCGCTTCGCTCTCTTACGCGCTGTCGCGGAAGCAATGCTGGAGTGAAATGAACTGCCTGGACGCTAATAAAGATAGGAGAACACAGGATAACGTGGGGAAGCACCTCTTGCCGTTGGCAGAATCGCAGAATGCCATGGGAAACGAAGCGTCCGCGGCGTTCGTACGAGAGCGTAAGACTAAACCTACGCCATTGCCCAGTGTTGCTTCACTAGCTCACACGGTGCCAGCGTTGCTCACCCGCTTTCGGGCCGGTAACCGAGCCGGGATAACATTTTTAATCGGCAATGCGGCGTCGTTTTGACGTGATATTTTGGGCATGACCGTATTTTGATCCCCTAAAGCGATATCAGTCATTTCGATAGGATCGACATTTTGAGTGGACTTGATTTGCCAAGCGGTCGTCGACTGTACGGTGGAGCACGAGCCTATACTCGGACAGCAGCCGAAGCTACAATTCGGTAGAGCCCATCAAGTAGCGCCAAAGGTGCATCGTCATGGCGCTCGTCGTGTTTTACATTTGATTTTCTCAATCATGGGCAGCGAATACCCCTTAACCCTGCCCTTTTTTTTCTCTCTGCGGGAATGATTTAGCCGCTCATAACAAATGCGCAAAGACAACGAACGCCGTGATGGGCTGCTGCTTGATAGACTCCATCGAACCTTGGCATCGACTAGGTTGTATTTATTGTGAAGCGGAGCATAAGCGAAACATTCAGGAGTGTTAATAAAACGGTTCGCCTACAGCCTATGCGATCGTACAGTAGTGGACACTGTTAGCTATACAAAAGGGCAGCCGTGGCCGTCCCGTACCAACGGGCCGCATAGCGGGGGCAATGGGAAACACCGCGAGTACACCGCCTATCCTGTGCGACGGAATTACTCTTCCAGGTTGTATTTACACTTTCTCCTTGTCGTCCGCTAGGTGCAAAATGGACGCCGCCACAGCACTTGCTGATACTTGCTTCACAGGCTTTTGTCGGTGCCTCTTTTGGTGCGATGATTCTGTGACTAACGGAAATGAGTCAGCAAAACAACCATCAAAGGGACATATGGGGCAAAACATAATCGTTGGCAATGATTGTGTACATATCTTGGTAGATTACTTGTAGGGTAAGACTGAACAGGGGGTGGCTGGTCGTCCTCGCTAATTTGCTTCATAATTTTATATTTTATTCCCCGATGTCCGAAATCAACAAAATCATAATTATTTTCACCCAGAAAAAAGAATATCGGACACAAAAAATCGTACATCACGTAGAGGTGTAAAGTCGCATTTGCTTGCGTAGCCGGGGGGGTCCAATTTCGTCATTAACAACGGAAGTTATACTTCTTACGTCAGTTCCATAATTTTTGGGCACTATCTATGTGGTCTTAGCAGTACGAAAGAAATATTGTTATTGTTTATTATGCTTAAAAAATGAGGAAAAACATCAATTGCGGCTGCTTGACCGTTTTTCCCCCCAAATTTGCAGGCCTGTATCTTAGGAATTAATTTAGTCAGA